ATATAACTCTCATCTGGACCAGACAATCCAGTGATTACATGACCCTGTGGGTAAGGTGAGCTACAATGTATGCACACTGTGCAGGAGATGAATATTTGTGGACAGTTTTACACACTAACATTTATAGCTTTTTTCCTACTAGTGAACTTTACAAGGGAAATATTATTTCTATTTTCAGCCCATTTATCATGAAGTTCTTTCCAAAGGAGAAAATGTCAGCCCATTGAACCAGCGACCTCCATTGTAAAACCGCAGTACCTGATTATTTATGACCTTTCGTCTCAAACAGTTGTGTTTTTGTGTGATGTAATAACCATAACATCATGTCTGGCCGAGCAGAAATGGTCGTAACACCATGCCTCTCTCCAGTCATAACCTTTCGTAGTGATGGACGGCAGCCAAAAACAAACGCTGTCATGTTGGAAACTTGGCTCCTGACATTCAAACTTGGATTTAGGTGATGTACCTGCAGGTGCCATTGAGCAAGGCTATTCCATTCTATAACTTCATCGACATACCAAGCGAATATAATTATTGCAAATAAAAAATATCATTTTTTGTCATGAAAAGGCCAGACAGATTTGATTACTCATTTTACAGACTTCTCCGTGATTTTTCAACCATTTGGCAAAAAACCCAAGGTCTGCACTTGGAAATAACTGTGTTGAGAAACTTTTTAGCTGAAGTTACACGAACACTTTCACAAACACTTTTTCTTCTCTCCTGTTCGATCAAGCAAAGATTTCTTTTCAAGTTTTACATATATCTGTGCAATATCAAGAACCACCAGATATATGCAGGTTATACTTAGACACACATTCAGAAGAAATATGCAATTATTAAAAAAGAAAATGTATTCATTAAAATTTCATCATAAATGAGCATTTTCATTATTTTTTATTATAGACATCACAAAGAGTATAGTACTGCCACTTATGATGCAGATGATGATGATGATGACGACGACGTCGACAACAATGATGAAGTCTCGACACAACCATAACATATTTATGATGTTCATCCGAAAAAAATTGGGTGTTCTGAATTATTTCTATGCAGTATACATAAATACTTTTGTTATCCCCCGAACAATCATACACAATAATCACTATCAAAACTGTAAATTGATCTATTTGATAATCAAAAAGTATCATGCCTTAATAAAAACTGATAATGTCAATATTTTTCTGAATTGTTTTTGTTAGTAATCATCTGTACAGTCATAAATATACAATGTTTTCATAGTATACAAATATTTAGAGAACAATGTTTATCTACAGAGTCTCTTGATAGTTTGCCTTTAGAATTCCATAGAATGTGCAAGACTGTGAGTGGCAGACCTTCTTATCTGAGAAGGGTCAACAATGTTCGAGAGGCTCTCCAAGAGGGTGGAGTATGACAGGTAAAAACCACATAACATCATTAATAATTCAGAGGTCAGACAATGTCAACACCAGGTATGACCCAATCGCTCACAGGTAAAACACTTTGTCAACAAAGCCGTATTTAATCTGAATGAAATAGGATTCTAGCCCCATAACAGACATATTTAAGCTACTTTCAATTTTCACAACATGCTGCTTAAAATGCAGTCTCATGGAACATTCTGAGACTCGTGTTACGAGCTTAACCTTATGTTGTTAAAACCAACAATGGTTACTGTCATAGCAAATTGCTGTTATATTTTTACGTTTTTAATAGCAAATGGTTTTAAGAGAAAACAGACAGTCAAGAAAATCAAAAAGATCAATTTTGAACTCAAACAAAGACTTGCAAAAACATGGATGGTCTTCTGTAAAAACTATACGTTAAAATGGTGATTAAAGTAGTTTTAGGACAGCATTACAAGGAAACACAACCAATTCTGAATAACATAAAAATATAGAAACATACAGAAAGGTTTATGGGTACAGAATATGACATAAGCTGAATGAGGTTGGTTTTGCACACTTAAAATGTGTTTCAATTCCTTCAAGTATTTTATTAAGTAGGAAAAAAGCAAAGACATCTAAAACTTTGGTGAAGTCCTGAAGCTGACATATTGAGTTTTTGTCACCCAAAGCAAAAACATCACAACAAGCCCTTGTCTATAATTGTTAGGCAACTCAATGTCGAAAATGAAGGAATACTCTTAGCTCTACAGCAGAAGACACTTTAAAAAGAAAAACATTGAACATTTTCAGTTTTAGAGACTCAATGTTTGGCTTGTATTGGGCTCACAAACAGAATAGAATCAAGGCAGGGGTTCAAACACATGACCATGGGATCAGCCAGCAAAGGGACATAACTGTGGCATCACAAGATCAGGGTTGATTCTAACATGTGATACATCGATAGCTGCTAGTCTTAAATGAGATATACCCGTGAAGATCTGGGTTAGAATTGATCTTCAGCAACCCATGCTTGTCATAAGAGGCGACTAATGGGATTGGGTGGTCAGGCTTGCTGACTGGGTCTACACATGTCATCGTATACCAATTCAATATGAATTGTGCAGATCGATGCTCATGCTGTTGATCACTGGACTGTCTGGTCCAGACTCGATTATTTACAGACCGCCGCCATACAGCTGGAGTATTGCTGAGTGTGGCGGAAAACTAAACTCACTCACACACTCTAAAATGAGATAATTAAAGAAAGCTGAAAAATGCCAAATTTTACGTCCACCCTGATTTTGTACTGATAAACTTTACAGAAACTGAAACATATTTGTATTTACATCTGCCTGTCGAGGTGAATTTCATAGAGACATGCATGTGTGTGGCTGCTTGTAGAGATATACTGGTTTAATAGAACTAGTCCACTGACTCAACATTGCAGTTCAACACAGATACCCAACTCAGACACAGTACACTGAATCAGAGGAGAACAGCCCTTGTCTTATCCTCTCAATAGTGAGCGCCAGCCAGGGTAACAACAACTATCACTTTAAATATATTTGGGCGTTGCATGGCAAGGTATGGAAGCACTGACCTTGTTTTCCAGACAGACCCCATCTATTAGACCACAAAAGTAGTCCACGTCTGTCCAGTGGTAGGAATGACAGACTCAATAACAATATATTCAAATGGAAAAAATTGCCTCCTACTGTCAATCATTGTAACAGTTGATTACTGAACAATTTCATTCAATATTTGTGTCAAATGTAGCGTCGCAGAGAAACATCACCATAACAACATAAGCTGACACACAAGTGTTTGTTCAGTCAAATGACAGAATCGAAATGAAACCATTTTGGCATATTGGTAGACTGAAGCTTTTTAGAAGTGTTTGAAATGAAGGTTAAACAGCAATCACAAATGCCCATCTGTCATTTAGCGTCAAGTAACAGAACAGTTTACACAGATCATACTGCTTCAGTCACAGAACGTACAGAACAGCTTCATACAACCATCATACATTATCTCCTTTGTAGACGTTATTCCCAAACCAGATTTCAAGTTTCAATGCATAAGCTTGCATGCTCCTATCACAAAAGCTGAATATCAATTCTCATAAAATCCACCACCTTGAACACACTCATAGACCAATCAGATCTCGAAATGAGACCGTTTATTCCGAACATTTCACCTTATGAATTTCTATGTTTCTGACGATGGTTATTAACTTCTGAGTCACTGTCAGACAGACTGAACAGAAGCCATATCCAATACAGCAAGCATACACCCATAACTCTATCAAAGCATGATGCAAAGTATTGCCCCATGGGAACACTCAGCTGACAGGCATGCATCTTTTCAAAGTAAAAGCAGGGGAAAATATTTAACTCCCTTTTATACAAGTTCAAAATGATTACAAAACCTAATAGGTACAAATCTTGTTGATATTCACCATCCGTTTCATGTTTGGTATTTTAAATATGATATCTTTAGTGATAACAATGTTGCTATAACCTTCATGAGTCCTTAAACTTTGAAAATGTGCAGTGTGTATAAATGTGTAATCACAGATAATAAAATGTTAGGCGTAAGTTTAACATATGTCATAAAAGATGACATTTTGTAATGACGCGGAACTGAAATGTTAATGGCGTGTAGATCATCACCCATCTGATTCTTATCTGTCATCCAGCTGTCAATTGTCCAACACATGCATCCAAATTGTAAACTAGATTCACAATCTTTGTCATAAAAATTCTTTAGCTAGCATACAGTAACATTTCCCACGAAGCTAATGGGAATCACTTTCATTATAATTTTTTTAATTACAACAGGGCATCATGAGCTCTCAAAAACCTGGACTAAGTGACACTCAAAGATAGAATAGTAAATATGTCTTTCAAGGCATAATGTTACAAAACCTATCTTTAGATCTTAACAATACAAAAGGAAAAGTCTTCTGAGGCCTTACAATAAAGAAATGTATTTCAAGTCTTAATGCAACAGAGTCTTTTCAGTCATAATAATGAAGAAGCCCAAAACATTTTGTTACTGTTGCTATGAGAACGTCTTTAAAATCCAAATGTAGCTGAAAAATTCCCTTGAGTCATAATGATACAGAACTTGCACTATTTTTTACATCATCTGACAGAAAAGCAGTCTTTTAAGTTTTAATGTTACAGAAAAACTCTTATGTCCTTTTCCACAAAAACTATATAATGTCCTGTTACAAAAATATCTTTTAAAGAAGTTCTGTTAGAAAAGAAAGTCTGAATATTGGATATTAAAGATAAATATTCCTTTAAGTCCTAATCATACAGAAAAAAGGTCTTTCAAGCCGAAATGATAAAGAAAAGAAGTATTTCAATTCACATGCAATATATAGCGTGAGTAAGTAAATAATCGCAGGGACACCAAGATCTGGCATCACAGACAGACCCCAGGACTGAAACCATGTCTATGGCGCCACAAGGAAAGGCTTTAACAACTACACCACAAAACTGCAACTGACAACATACGGATTGCAAAAAACAAACAGAATTCACTAAAATGTGTGCAGAATAAATAATTTATTCAAATGCTTGTTAATGGCGTTGACTAAGCTCACTACACTGTTCCCACCTTGAAGCTCCTCTGCATGGTGTTCCACACTCTGTTGTAGACACTCCTCTGCTTTGCTGTCTCCGACACACACTCGGCGTTGTTTCAATGTCGGGCAATTTTTACCACCATTTTCCGGGTACCTTTTAACTTTTCTAGTTCTCCTGCGGCTGCCAAGTCCACAAGGGTTATCACACTCGCCCCAGTCAGTCCAGTCGGAGACATCGCAGTCTATGGCTGAAAGACAGGACAGATACATGGTCAAGCAGGGTCATACTGGTACATAGTCATACTGGTACATAGTCATACTGGTGGTACATAGTCATACTGGTACATAGTCATACTGGTACATAGTCATACTGGTACATGATAATATGGTGTGTATCATTAACTGTGAAAATGGCACGTGATTAAAAACAAAATTTTACTTATATGAGTAGTGATTGAGTTGTGTCAACTGATTTGAGTAGTGATTGACATGGGTTTTCTGAGGTTTTGAGCAGTGTTTCCGTTTCGTCACATCGTGTCAGCATGACCTGGAAGGAAAGCCTCCAGTCATGCAGGTCTTAGACGTTATCAATTTGTCATATCCCACAGGTTCTGACAAACCAAGAAACATTGGGGAACAGCCATCATTGTTGTGTTCTGGTATGCCCAAGGGAGGCAAACTCACTGTGTTTCCATCCCCTCTGGTGACAACTGATGTCCCCAATCGGTGAGTGAGTGAGTGAGTTTAGTTTTACACCGCACTCAGCAATATTCCAGCTATATGGCGGCGGTCTGTAAATAATCGAGTCTGGACCAGACAATCCACTGATCAACTGCATGAGCACAATTGGGAACCGATGACATGTGTCAACCAAGTCAGCAAGCCTCACCACCGGATCCCGTTAGTCGCCTCTTACGACAAGCATGGGTTACTGAAGATCAATTCTAACCCAGATCTTCGCGGGTGCCCCCAATAGGAGAGAAAAGCCTGAAGTGTTGCAGGTGTTAGGCTCATCACTTTAGCAGGTGCTGACATAGAATCAGAATCATAAGAGATTCGAACCCGTGATACGGTTGTGGTACACTCACTGTTTCCTGCTTACTGCTGCCCCCAGCAATATTTCAGCTATATCATGGTGGTAGGCTATCAAATCCAGACCAGACAATCCAGTGATTTACATCAAGAGCATTGATCCACACAATTTGGAAACCATGAAATGCATTAAGCAAGTGAGAGAGCAATACCATCTTGTTTGTTGCCTCCTACGACATGCATGGGCTGTGAAAGACCAAGTATAGACTTGACACATCAAAATACATTACACATAACATGAGTTTGATACCATCATGATTATACACGCAGAGTGAAATAGTGTGTGTGTTGTAGTGCAATGGATATGAGAGGTGTTTGACTCAATATGGTTGCTGCTTTGAATGTGTGAGATTGTTGACTTGAATGAATATGGTTGCTGTTCTTGAATGAATATGGTTGCTGTTCTTGAATGAATATGGTTGCTGTTCTTGAATGAATATGGTTGTTCTTGAATGAATATGGTTGCTGTTCTTGAATGAATATGGTTGTTGAATGAATATGTTCTTGAATGAATATGGTTGTTGTTCTTGAATGAATGTGTTTGTGGTTCTTAAATGAATATGGTTGCTGTTCTTGAATGTGTGCAACAGCTTGCCATGCCTGTGTGAGGTACATAACAGATTCTGTAGGAGCCAGCCAGGTTTTATTAGCTTAATTCACTCATATCATGTAGATGGCACAATGAAACCCCGCTTGTGACCATAAAGGCTAAAAAAACCTCCATACAACCCCCACAAAAAACAAAAACTCAGGTCTTCAGTCAGCTGACATATGCTGTTACCATTTGGCTGGTCTGACTCACAGTCCCTGAACCATATTATTTTCCCTACAGCCTAGCCCTCCCTGCAATGCTAAAGCCAAAAATGAAAGTTTATTCATTACAATCACAATTATATATAGGCAGAGAGCAAGCTTTAGTCTACCACTTGGCTACCAGACCTCCAAACACTGGGAGTTAGCCAAGCTGTGAAATCTGTGGACACTATAAACATCCTTCTGTTGTCGATTCCAGGAAGTCCTACTTCCACACTGATACCTACACAACTACAAACATTTCCTTTGTGTAACTGGAATCAGCTTACAGACAGGATCTGGATCCATCTGAAGAAAGGTCAGAACTCCTGACAGATACACACACAGAAGCCCAGTGGAGGAGCATCTGGGGATGGGTGTATATCACATGCTGAAGCTCAACCACCAGTAAAACAGTCTTAACAGCCTCTATACCATCAGCAACAGCAACAACTCACACAGCATCATCGTCCTGCAACATCAGTGTTCTGATTTCCTGTATCACTGGGTCATTGTAATCTGTTGCAGTCTCTCAACCCTTAAGCCTTTCCTGTAATGCCACAAGTCTAGATTTTCAATAGCTTCCGAATATTTCACGCCTAATTTTTAAATTTATGGGCTACAAGGGACCTACCAGTCCCAGACAAAAATAGTTGAATGACTACAATATATATGAAATTGTTATATAATTCAGGTGATAACTTTTCTTTCACACACATACAATAATACATGAGTGAGTGAGTGAGTTTTGTTTTACACTGCAATATTCAAGCAATATCATGGCGGGGACACCAGAATTGGGTTTCACACATTCTACCCATGTGGGGAATTGAACCCGGGTCTTCGGGGTAACAAGTGAACACTTTAACCACTAGGCTACCCCACTCCCCCAATAATACATGAGGGCGCTGGATGCCAATCTCGGCTGTTCACCCAGCACTACTTGACACATATACCAGGCAAGATCACTGATAACAAGCACTGTGCTAATATGTCAACATCATTTGACCAGGGCTTGAGGTAAATCTCAAGGTAGAACTTTCTTTTCCTCTTATCATTTAACACATGCACATACATTAGGAAAATATTACATTCACCGATCTAAAACATTCATTTGTTGCCAACGTCTACTGTGATTTATGATCTCGTGTTTGGGTGCTATATCACTTGTGTACCTCTACAGCAAGTGTCTTCGTATCTTGACAGTTTATCAACCTCTCGGCCATATATCTCGCAGTTAGATTCACCCTTCCCTCCTCTGGGCTGGAGGTTCTTGTCCCCCTACACACTGTGGTTCCAGGAAGCATGGGTAGACTTCTAACTCTGTTCCTCTCCCCTCTGTGGGGAATGCTCAACCCACCCTCAGAGCTAATGTCCCCTCAGGTAGACTGTTCCCATCCTATAGGGTCCCCATATGACAAGTGAATGCTCACCCCAACACTCAGAGCTAATGTGCCCTCAGATAGACTCATCCCATCCAATAGGGTCCCCATATCACAAGTGAATGTACACCCCACCATCGGAGCTAATGTCCCCTCAGATAGACTCTTCCCATCCTATAGGGTCCCCATATCACAAGTGAATGCTCACCCCTAGAGCTAATGTCCCCTCAGATAGACTCTTCCCACCCTATAGGGTCCCCATATCACAAGTGAATGCTCACCCCTAGAGCTAATGTCCCCTCAGATAGACTCTTCCCACCCTATAGGGTCCCCATATCACAAGTGAATGCTCACCCCTAGAGCTAATGTCCCTTCATCCTCCTCCTAGGGTCCCCATATCATGAGGGTAGACTTAGCCCCTCCCCCTACTGTTCCCGATGTAGGTCACTCCCGCCTGTGTCTAGTCTACCAAGCTGCCTCTAAGCTCCAGGACACTAAGTCCACAAATACAATTGTCATTGGACCCAGACTTACAAACTGGACAGGTAGGAAGACGTTGGCATGGAAACCAGACAAAACTGCTAACTGTGAAGAGGCTAAACAGTTTCTCTTGATTCTTGACAGTAGAAGTTGCCAGTAACTACAGAAATTAGTAGGTGCTTCAGTCAATGTCGTGATAACAGGCAATTAGACACTGTAAAGTCCAGATCCACATCCGGATGGGATTCATGAGAAGAATATATCCCTAGTACTGTACTAAGCTTGTGAAACAGCATTCTTTGAAATGACAATGATAGGTCCCTGGGGTTCACAGTGTTAGGATCAGGATATTGAGGTGACCAAAACATTATACTTATAAAAGTACGCTTACAACACATGACCCTCTGATTTCTATGCAAAGTTTCTAAACCTTCTAAAAATGCATTTGATGGTTATAATGATATATTCAGACTATATTTGACCTGTAACTTGACTGGTCAGTCATGGTCAGTGATCACAAACCTTATACCAGAACCAGCAGCTTACCAATATATTTAAACCCAGAACAACCTCTAACCTTGACCCTGTCTTGTAATGGAGGATTGCACTCAATAAATCTACATATTCCTAAACTGATAAAACAGTGTACAATTCAATGAATAATTATAAATTTGGATGATTCGACTGGGAACAATTTGTCCTCTCTATCAAGGTTCCACTGTACATGTGCCACCTTCTTTTCCTCAAATGTCCTTGTTTTGCTGTTTTTCACATCAAGCTCTGGTCTCTTGGGAACTCTTCTGTCTGGGAAACCACAGAAGTGTTTGATAACCCAGCTTAACTACAGACAGAAGTTACATAATCCCCGTAACGATTCAGCAGGGTGGAATTACAATAGTCTCTCGCCTATCCATCTCAGACATCTTTAGCTGAAAGATGATTTTTTATCATGTAAAGCTACACGATAAATCAGATTTTAAAAGCTTTGGGTTGATTTCAACTTAAGCTACTGTTACTCTACTATATTACAGGAAACATTTGTAAAAGGTTGGTGAAAGTATTTCCCAGCTGACAAACATTAACTCAGAATTTTATCCGCGGGAGGATTGGTAGCAAGGGTTTTGACAACAATATGATATCGCTGACCTAATCCTAATGAGAGGAGCTGTAGTTACAAGAAGTGGATCAATGCTGGATCGTAATCTGATTGCGTTCACAGCTGTTGGACAATAAAACTTTCCAAACAGCCTCGCAATGACAAGTTTCCATTTTCAATAAAATCATGGATTGTCATTTACTTTGTAAAAATGTTTTATCTGGCATCACGTGAAAGATCTGTGGCAACATCAATAAAAAGGAAATCAATTTATCAAATAATAAGCAAGTTCACACGAGAATGTCTGTCACATAAAAGAAACAGTTGAAATATATAGGGATAACTTCATTGAGGACAACAATCATAAATCATTGCATCTTGACAAAGATGGAACAATGTGGTCAAC